ATTTATTTATTTATTGGATTTATTTATTGGATGGCATAGGCTCCTTTCACTATGATAAGCGTCATTGTAACCTCGACAAAGCACTGCACCTGCACTGTCCACCACTGTGCGACGAGTGAAATTTTGATGATTTCATCAAGTTCATTAAGAAAAAAAAATACTAAATGTTATTTTTTCATGTAGAGAGCAAATATGTATTTACGTTTATAGACTGAATTTACACATATTGATGAAATAGCTGTATATCATCTTGGCATTCATAGCTCTGCCACTGTTTTGCCAAACTTCAATACATTAAATGTGCCATATCGAAGTTTTTTCAGAGAAGTGGGAAACAAAATTCTGACAATTGAAGTTAGAGAGAACAAAGTGTCATTAAAAAAAAAAAGGTAAAAGGAGGCGTCTACAGGAAACTAGCATGGTGATGACACTGTAGTTGGAACTTCACCCTATAGATAATTAAAGAATACATGTTCAGCCCTCCATAAAACGTCCAGCTGTTGTCGATATCTGCTCTTGCCGAGTTGAGTTTTTGAACATCTATTGGTTATTTGTTTATAGGGTCTAGCCTAAATAAATAGAGAGGACAATGGCTTCTGTAGCTACTCACTTTGTCCACAAGAATGAACTCTATGCAGTAGACTACTCTCCAGTGAGATTTTCTATCCTATTTGATTGGTTGTGAACAAATCATATTTACGTTTGAAGAAGAGTGCATTTTTGAAGGAATGTGCAATGGTTGAAATCTGGACTCACGTGATCACGTTATTTATTTTTTTACACATATATTTTGTATATGTAGATTTCGTAAGTCTTATAAAATCCAAAATCATCTCACTCTGACCAAGGACAGCTGTCACTTTACTTTGATTGCTCCTGTTTCTTTTCTTAAAGAAACTGTTTTTGGTCATTTGCACTTCTAGTAGAAATATACAGTAAATATAAATAAACATATATATATATAAAAATATATATATACAGTATATACGATATAGGGAAGCAAAACAAATTAGTTTCTAGAACTATTTACAAACAGTATTAAATGTTTTTAGTGTTGCTTGAATGTCGGACCATATGTTGTGAATGCTGCTAGTATCTATAGATTTATTTGTACTGTAAATAGAGATGAGATAAATCAACATTAAAGATATAGTAAAAAGGGTATAGACATACATATCAGCGGTGGTAGCGGTGGTTATCTAACAAGACACGGCTGTACCTGTACACATTTGGCCCGTGATCTCTCGACAGGGTTAGCTTTCTGTTTTATTAGAAAACTATACTGAATATCTTGATGCAATATTATAACTGAGGGCAAAACCGTCACCCTTTATTGTCTTTTCTAAAACGTGCTCTCGAAATTACTATTTTTAATCCCTTGAGTAAAGCGAACCAGTTTTTGGGGAACACGTTTTGTTTAGCGCTTTTAAAGAAACCGAGTGGAATTGCCAAAACATTAAAACATGAATATTTGTTTTGAGACTTTTAAACACACCTACCTGTGACACCTGAAGACAAGTAGCCCACTCCTAGTTTCAAAGATTTCTCTGTGCCAAGTGATGAAGAATTTATTTATTATGCTTGTCACAAAAAAGGGGGGAGGGGGTTGTTTGACACTCACCTGTTTTTGAAGAACATGGTTATTTTGGGATTGTCTCTACAACATTGCCTGCATCAACTGAGCCTTTTAAATTTATTCAAAAGAAAAGATATCTGATGTTTATTGGAGAAGTTTATTGGAAATAAATTTAGTTATGGAATTATAAATGTTTTATAATTGCTGTTTGCATGGTACCATGTGGCAATATTTGTTTTAGTGATTTTATATCGTGATGACTTACATGTTTTAAGGTGCAGAGTCGGAGTGGTGGAGAAAGGTGTCAAACATTCTCAATGAGTTTCCGATTTTGAGAACTCAGGAGTGTTGCCGCACAGTCGGCAGCATGGTTTAACATTGAAAATAAGTTTGTTTTTTTTTGCAAAAAACTCAAACAAAAAACAAAAACAAAATAGGAAAAAGTATGAGTTCACTATATTGTTAATCGTTATATTTCAATCTCGCTCAAGTAGTCTTATGTAATGTGATAGAAGATTTTGAGTTTGCAAATAGACGAGCCTTGGGAATAGTCATTTCACATTTTTGTAAATATGAATATCACAAATCAAGGACACTGTAATCTGCTAGTGTTGTCTTTTGTTGTACACTGTTCTATCACTGTGGGCAAAGTCTTAGAGTTTTGTAAGATTATGTGCAATATTGTTCTCATATTGGTATTTTTTTCCCATTTTGTCATAATTTCAGTTTATATAAATAACTGGAGATGTCAGCAGTCTCTTAAATTTTTAGAGTGTTTGTCACCAGGTCTTTTGGACCAGAAAAACCTAAAGTGTTTAACCAAAATGTGGCAGAGGCAGCACAGCACTTTACACTGAGGGGCACTCTGTGATAGAGGGGTCGGATGGCAAAAGAGCCAGCCCGCTCTGCACAGACTCTGTCCCACAGTGATCCCTGGTGGCACAAGAGTGTATTTACAGCCAGCTCTGGTGGTCTGACAGCTCAGACTAAAAAGAATAAATAAATATCATGAAATCCCATCATCTTGCTGCGGTTCCCAGCTGCAACAGTTCAGATTATTAATTTTGTTACATCTTATCATTTGACCGTTTTCTTGGACATTTTTAGCATGCATCACTTTTTTCTTTCCTTTTTTTCCTTGCCAAACTTCTTTAAAAGAATAATAGTAACTGTTAAATTTCTAGTGCTTGTCACTCAATCTGTGAGGTGAGCCTTCCCAGAATTCCCCCTCAACCCCACTGCTCAGCCCTTCTGCCCCAGCTCCCTGGTCTCCCCCATCCCAACCACGAAAATCCACCCCAGCTCTGTATTTTAAATGTGACTGCAGTATAATTCTGAGAAATGATCAAAGAATATAAAACTCGCGCTTCCAAACCTGGTACAGGCTCTGCTTGGACAAGGTGCGATAGTCGATTTAAAAACCAGCACGTCCCTCTCCCCCCTGAACTGATCCGTGATTTAGATCAGATCTTTCACCTGCACAACTGTAGCATGAGGCAAACTTGCCAGTGATCATTACCCAGTCTCCATCCTAAAATGGATATTAAGGGCTCTGAAACACATCTGTTACTGGGTTGAGGAGGCTGTCGTGTTAAGACACCAACAGAGAAGTACAAAACTAATCCCAGATTATTGCAGACGGGGGGCACACAGTCTGTAGCTGAAATAAGATCCTACCCCCTCAATATTATCTTCACAGAAGCATCAGATGTGCCTGATATGGAAGGTAATGCAACAGCTGCACTTACATTTCACACAGTCGATCTCTCTGGGAGTCAGATGAGAAAAACTCAAGCGGCTATTCATGCAGTGCAAGCAGAGCCCCACTCCGGTTATGTTGTGTAACTCAGTGCATGCATGCAACTACCCCGAACAAGGTGTTTTGAAAATATATTGGGTGTTTGTGGTATAAAAGTATTTTGTTTATATCAGACACTTTTGTTTGTAGTAGTAGAATATTTTTCCTTAGCACTGGCCCATTGTATCCCAGGATGAATATTATTCTAGTATGAGATTCTATTTTTTATGGTAGATCTGTTGACATGGTCCTCTCATTGTGTCTAATAGCTGGAGATGAAGTGATTACCAAAGTATATTTCAGTTAACTACATAAATGAGTGTGAAAATGTGTGTTCCAGTGAATTAGATGAAGACATGTGCAAATTGTTTACCTTCTTATCAAAATTTGTAGCAAATGTCACTCCCCTGAGAATACTGTTTCAACAAGGTAAAACAAAGAACACTGGACGTGCCAAGGTATTATAGGAGACACCTGCTAATTTTTATTTTTAAATGTTTGAAAAAGCAGTAAGTCTGCTGCCTGTCCAAAACTGGTGATGTACCTCTTTTCAGTCACCAGTTTTGGTTTTATTCAGTGTATTGTTAGAAGTATTTCCAACTACCAAAACGGATTTGCTATTTAGGCTTTCAAATGACCTTAAGAGGACAAGTTGTGCATTTTGGGAAGGGCACAGGTATTGGTTTATTGCATTTTGTGCAATAAACCAATTACGGCTTTATCAAAAGGTATATCCATCTACCAGCATCTCTGAAGCTCAAAACTAACACGCATCTAGTTTCCGTGATTGCTACTTCAAACAAGGCTTAAAAACATCATTTGTGAAAGGACTGTGTCTGGGCGTTAGTAAGTTGCTGGTCTTGACTAAGAAAGAGCAGAGTATGTAATCTGTCATTACAAACTTTGTTTTTCTGTACAGTTTAAATAAGGGGTATACACAAGTACTCAGCTTTAACAAATGCCCAGTTTCATTTGAACGATTCAGGTATTGGAGATTTGAGTTTTTCTGCTACGGACTCTCTTATCATTCAACTTTTATTTAATGGATATTTCCCAAAATGAATTATTCCTTAATAATTGAGGGCTTTAACAAAAAAAAAAAAAAAAAAAAAAGTAACCAGTACCATAACCCTGTCACTGTCCAGACTTGTACTGGATGTAGAGGATGTATACAGCATACACACAAAGACACAGCTGTATCTAATTCAACAATATTGAAACATTGTTTCATTCTGAACCGTTCTCTACTTCCTTGATACCGTACCTGGTCTTATGGTAAAGCCGTAGTGTGTTCCTTTCAGTTCTGTGGGAGTGTGTTTGTGTGTACATGTGCACTTGTACCTGCTGGGGGCGGGGGGTGGTCATGGGCGAGGGTGGGAGGGGGCTACGTGTAAATAAAATACAGTTAGTGTGGAGGTGTTTATTTTTTTGTGTCAGTGCAAGTTAAATATTCTAAAACATAAAAAAATAAATAAAAAAAAGACCTGTATTATTCTCTATTGTGGTTCATGGTACATTTAAAAGAAAAAATAAAGAGGAAAAAGTAGTTTTATCTTACATTTCAAATGCTTATCTCTATGGCTTCTGGCGATACCCGTTCCATTTTATAGATTTGTCAGCACAAAATGCAATAAACCAATACCATTTTATTACAGGAATTGTGTCTGAGTTTTTAATTATGTCTTGTTTTGTTCATGAAAAAACAAAAAACAAAACAATGTGACAAATTAAAAGACTGTAAAACTATAAGACAATAGTTGGAAAAGAACTGAGAATTCCATCTGTAAGCAAAATGTACTTCATAACGAGACTGAATAATTATTTTCTGGCAAACAGCTGCAAAAAAAAAAAAAAAAAAAAAAAAAAAGTCTTCACATTTTATGAACAATGGAGGAAAAGAGATTAAAAGGTTTTACAAAAACATCCCTACAGTCTACTGATACTAAGCAAGAAAACTCACTGCACAGGAAAGTTTATGGCATCGGAGGGGAAAAAAAATAAAATTAAAATAAATTCAGGGTTCTACAGCTTTTCAGTAGTGTCGGGGGTACATAGACACAGGTGGGGCCTGACCCATGTTGGGTGCTGGTCTTGGGGCTTGCTGCTGAGAGGCCCCACTACTCACCAGATGGTTGAGAGAGGGTCCACTCTGAATGAGTGTGTCCAGAGCTTTCTGGACACTCGGGTTGTCAAAATTGATGCCTGAAGCAGAGGTGGGGGGTCTCTGAATACTGGTGGCAACTGGCATTCGGCCTGGAGGGTTTGCGTACCCCTGAGATGCAGGTGCAGGAGGACCTGGCATTGGTGGGCGGGATGGGTTTTGGGAAGGAGACTGGCCAAGAGATCCATATGAGTGTGACTGTGAGGGTGCAGAGGGGAGGCCAGTAGTGCCTGTTAACTGCCCACTGCCACTGTTGAACAGACTGAGGATTTTAGCCTGCAGCTCCTGCTGGTGACTGGGATTAGCCGAGGTGCTTGAACCCGCTGACAGACTGAGATGACCCGACTGGGGGGGTGTGTGAGTAGATGGAGGGAGTGCTGCAGCTGAAGAGGGAACTTCATGATGTACTGCTGGAGGAGGCCCAACATGGACTGGAGCTGTATGGAGACATCAGTTATTTGCTTCTCTATAGAAATCATTGTATTCAACAGAAACGTCAATAACCATTTCCAGTCCACCAGTTCCTCTCATTTTTATGTGCATGTAAATGAAAAAAATTAAACCAAGGAGGTGGCATTACCTGCAAGGGGATCTGCTGTGCTTCGTACCAGCCGAGCTCTTTTGTCCTTCAGGTATGCAATCAGACTGTCCAACTCGTCTGGAGTCACAAATCTACCCAACAAAACAAGATTATTCTTTCAATACAGAGAAACTAAATATCATGTAGATTACTACAACACACCATCACTAACTGATGAAATGTTGCATTCCCCAAAGCCATGTTATTTCATTGTAAAGTCTCCATGTTTCAGGATACTTGTATAAAAGCATAAAGATTTAAACCAGCTACCTATTTTCAGCCAATAGTGTGATGTTCGTAAGTAAGGAGACGGGGTGGCTCTCTCGGTCAGGCTCTCTGAGTAACACATCATCTGCCATCTTCGCAGCCTTTCTGGCTATCTCCTCACGTTCTTTTTCACGGTTTTCGATTTTGTAGGTGTCATAGTTGTGGGCAACCAGCATCATGGCGTCCTGCATGGGCATGTTTCGATGCTCTGTAAGAATAAATGCAAGAAATGAAACCAAACAAAATAAGATTCTGACACTTCTGAATTACCTGAAACGTTCCAAAAAACAAGTTAATGTCATCCTGAATTACCTTGAGGTGTGCCAAAGAGGATATTGACAGTGCAGGAGCGATGCACCTGATGTTGTTGGGTTATGATGATGGCAAAAGGAGTACGAGCTCGGCCTACATCCTCCAGTGCTTGAGTTAGAGACACTTCTGTGTTGAGGAAGATCAAATCCACCACCATTCCCAAGTCACGGACCTTCCGCCCAACCGTCTCAGCATACTCCCTACAGTTGGTTTTAAAGCACAAGTACAGAAGCGCACACACACACACACACACACACACACACGAGCAGTATGAAATGAAAACATTCCATGTACTTTGAATATTTAGAGATGTTTCTGGTCCAGTATCAGTTTTTCTTCCTATAAACAACAGACTGTGGACATACTTTTGGGCTTTGTTGACAACAATTACAGAGCAGTCGACAGGACGGTCAGCGTCATGACGCCGCTGGAGTTCTTCATAGTACTGCCGATACAGTTCATTACGCCGGCGTTCTTCTGGTCGTAGACGCTCCTCTACAGGTAATGAGAGGTGGGAGTGATTTCAAAATAATGTCCGTTTAAATTTGTATCCATTTGAATTTAATTATGCAGAAATCCTGGTACTTTATATTCTTAGTGCTTTCAATTGTAAACCCAATATTACCAAAAAAAAAAAAAAGTCAAGATATTAGAGGAAAATCATGAGAATTAAACCCAAACATGAGAAAAAAAAAATCTATTAAAATTCAGAGTATTCAAACCAACCAGTCCTAAACTATACCCTGTACACTGAAGGCAACATACCTTCTGGCTCACGACGTCCATTCCAGGGATCTCCATAAGGATCCCTGTAGGTCTCGTCCTTCCTCCTGAAATAATCTTCTGCACCACTGCCACTACGGTAGTATCTGTCATACTCGCTTCTGCTGTATGGGAAAAATTTCAGGTTCAAACAAAAAGCTTAACCATTAAAGACTCAGTGGATGGTTTGTCAGTCACCTGTAAGCAGAATCCCGTGGGTCACCTCTGATGTCCTTGTCTCTGCTCTCTGAGCTACGGTACCGGTAATCAGGGTCACGAGAGTGGCCACCTGGTCGAGGCTCCCGGGAGTCCCTCCCATCACGGCTGTCCCGAGGCTCACGTCCGTCACGCCCATAAACAGGTGAGCGAGACCGAGGTCGGGGCTCTTTGCTGTCCCCGTAGGTGCTGTAAGGGGCCCTGAGAAAAATGTTATCCATTAGTGCAGGTTAAGAGTTGAAGCTGCCTTTGAAATATTAGAAAACAGGAATGCCTGTCCTTAGCGGATGAGGACAGGTCAATGGGCTGGTAGTGTAAAACTTGTAACGGCGCAAATAAACAAAGTTTTTTTTTCCCCCCCCCCCTTTGTTTTCCTTCTTCTTCAGACCACTTGCGTGTATTCAAACCGGTAGGTGATTCCGATAATTCTTAGCAGCAAGTTTTCAAAAATGTTCTGTGATCTACAAACACACAACTACCAACCGAACATTTAATGTTTGACCACAAATCCAGCTCTGAATAAAACAAACTTTTTGAAGGTGGTTTTATTTTGCACATACAGCGCAATAGGCTCACAGGCTGTTCATTCTTCCAGAAGTTGAACTTCCATACTATAAATGAGGTTGCAAGAATGCCAGAGACCAAGTAAAGACGTTTCAAGTAAAATCATATAATATTCTGAAATAGCATGACATACCAGTTTTGAGTCAGATTAAAGTATTTTCCTAACCGCTTGTGATTTGACAGTTTCTCTCGTTAAAAAAAATAAATAAATTTATACATCAAATAAATAGTATGGTTAACCAAACATTTGCTTATTACCATGTAAAACGTAACTTTCATTAAAGGCTCAACTCCGAAGCGGTTCACAAACAAAATAAGACAAAACTACCAAAACACGAAGCGCGTTTAGCGATTATTTGTATCGCCACACAATGATACACTGCCTACTTTTCTATTCCCTAACATTTAAATTTTCCCTGGTCCACAAAAAATAAAATAAATAACGCAGTGTTACACTTACTCTATTTACACTGAAGTAATATAAAATTCCAGCAGCTAAGTGTTGTACAGAATTTATTTATAAAAAATAAAAAAAAAAAAAAAACAAAACAAAAAACCTGCATATTCTGTCCAAGGTACAGTGAAACACTTTACTTACAATATGACGAGATAGAAAGATGAGAAGAGTTTCCCTTAAGTGGATCAGATGAAATGCAAGACTTACAGCAAGTCAACATGGAGGAAGTCTAAAAGATAAACTTTCACACTGACCTTTAGTTACTTATCTTAACAATTCACAATAGGCAACTAAATCTAAATATGCAGAAACCCAGTGACCAGTGGAGCTGGACCATAACCTGCTGCCTCTGAAATAAGTTTCTCTGATGTGTAGGATGCTCTGTAGCATGTACTCAGTCATAAACTGTATGGTGATCACTGAGCTGAGCTGGTTAAAGGAATACATAACAAAGCTTAAACTAAAAATACAAGACCATACTGGCAATTATGGGGTCTTTTTTGTATTATTATTATTATTATTATTATTTTTTTTTTTTTTAAATATAAATACAAAAGGTACTCTATGGAGTTTGGACCACTAACAACCTGCAGCTGTGGTTTTGAGGATAGGTCAACATGGTTTGTATTTTGTGCAGACATCAGCTGATGCAACGGTTTTATGTTATACACTGCTACTATTCAACTTTAGATCAGATACATACGCCTAATTAAAAATGTAAAATATTAATGATAAAAATATTGTGAGGCATAGACCTTCCTACAGGATATGAAACATGAGAAAGTGACACACGATAGTCCTATCGTCACGCAAAGAACACCAGTGCTGAAAAAGAGCCACGACGTGAAGAATGTTTGAGACAAAGACACTTAAATTACATCCATATGTCTCTATTCTTTATTTCAACACATCAGTAAACTTTTAACTTTGGTTGAAATACTGAATCCGGCATAAACAAATCCGTCTAATGGTGCAGTAGCATCCATAAAGCGAACTTCTTCACTGGTGGAAATTACAGGTGAGGATATAGTTAAATACCTTTTTTTTTTTTTAAAAAAAAAAAAAAACCAACAACTGTGGCGATGGTAGTTCTTCACACTCATTTCGCGTTACTTTACCTTCGTGGAGGGCTCTGCTGGGATTGAGGTTTAGCTTGCCGTCGCTCCACTGCCATATTTACATCTGAAAATAAATCAATCCAAACGTTGAACACAACAGTGACATGGAGATCTGCTAATGATGTTCACGCAAAAAATGGAAGTGGCTGCGTCACCGTCCAAATGAAACAGAGTGCCAGGATCCAAATTTTAAAATCCAAAAAGGACGGAAGTTCAAAATGCAGAAGATTCTGTCGCCCAATCTGTCAAATTGAGTTTGAGATGAACCCAAAATGATGGACGTCTTTTCTCCGGGTCAAAATTTGCAAGAAACTAGCAGAGCTTGAATGTATTAGATTTTCAAGTTCAAATTTGGGCTTCAGAAACTCCCCAAACCAAAAAGGTGACACATCTGAATCCGCGTTGAAATATCGTACACAACAGCATTGCCAGAATTTAAAAATGCATGTTTGCCTTTATTGTTGATTTGCAAGTTCAAAAAGGAAAAGAAGGAGGAGAGAGAGAAAGGAAAAAAAAAAAAAAAAAAAAAAAAAAATAAAAAAGCACCGTGCGTTCGTGGTTGATCAGACTCTAAACGTAGGGGTAATTTAAAAAAAATAAATAAAAAATAAATACATTTTATTCCTAAATTCAGACAAATAATTATGCCATTCAATTTTTTTTTTTTTATTATTATTATTATTAGCACATAACCTGACCTTATTCTTTCATTAGCTTGTTTTTTTTGGAACACAAATAATAACTCCTTCAGCCATACAATCACATCACTTGCAGTTAAGGCTTACCTATTTTATAACCTTTATATATTCGACCTTTTTGGGCCGCCTTTGCAGCTTCGGCTTCCTCAACGCGTTCAAATTGTACAAATCCGAACCCACGAAACATGGATACGCCTGGAAGAGGAATATTTTAAGTGCACAACCTTAGGACAATTCTGAAGAGCCATTTTTGATCAAAATACCCATTTAATCCCTTTTAAATATATAAATTAGAACATTCTTGTATTTCATGCGAACTTGTCTGTAATTTTAACTAGTCAAAAATATTTCACGACTTTTAGGGACAACCTCCCTAATGCATACTGTTGTCATGTCATTAAAACTTGCATTGTGTTTACTGACCGACTACCTTCCCGTATGGGCTGAACAGGTCTTCCAAATCCTTCTTTTCCATGTCGGAGGTCGGCAAATTCCCAACAAAAATCCTCCTCTCCAAATCTCTAGGATCATTACTGCTGCAAGAGCGCGAATAGCGCCCTGGTGATAGGCTGCGACTCCTTCGGCGAGACATGATTAGATCCCAAGTTCACCGGTTTGTATCTTCGTGCGTCTCAAATGCTTGAACAGGTTTGGTTTGTTCACTTAAGAGATCAAATTCCTTGGAAGGATAAAAGGTCAGACAGAGCATCAAAAAGAGTTCAATCTTCAAATCGAAATTAAACTGGAAATGTACCGATAAATCATAAACCACTCCAAAATATTTACATATATTTATAATTTTCTAATTTAATTAACCTGTTGTGCAACAGGTTAATACACAAAAGGAAAAAAAGTTGCACTGCAAGTGATATTTTTTTTCCTTTTTAATAAATGTTGATTTATGGTAGCTTGTGCTGAAATGAAAATATTCTCATCTCCCCATAAAATGGATTTTGGATAAAATTTTGTTTGAAATAATCGTTTATTGGATATATGCGCTTAATGAAGAAGAAAACTAGAACGTGTAAAAACAAATACATTAAATCTGTTTAAATGGCACAAGTTATGCCAGAATTTGACTGAGACGTGCATAATGAATTAAGGTTTCTTCTTGTAAAATGTGCAATGCCCCTTTTCATCTTCACTGCGTGCAGACTTTATTATTAGTGCAAAATAGATGAGTTTTCCACAAAGAAATGGCAGCAGAAGAAAATGAGACCACACTAGAAAAGCAGGACTAATCAGTGATGAAAATTCCACAAATAATGTAGGAGAAAATAAGCCGCAATTCCCACGGTGGTGTAAAGAGAAAAACTTAAAATGACTGACTATACCACTGATTGTTTCCCCTCTTTAAATTTATTTTATTTTTTTAATTTAATAAGTAATGTTCAATAACACACTTCTTTTGATCCAAAATGCAAAGTTCTCGACACCGTACCCCAGCGAAATCCAAAACGGTCCTTGGTGGTTGTATAGCGAGAGAGAGAGAAATGACAGACACCGGTGTCTGAAGTTCAGGATTCAGAGTGAGATATACTCTAGTTATAGTTGACGAGTGAAATATTTTAGAAGAAGGTTCATGGTGCAAATTTAAAGTCACACCATCCGAGAAAAATAAGCCCCATTGGGTCTCACAACAGTCCTTTGTGAAATAAATGCAGTCCTCTTCTCTTGAAATAACGCCGTCTTGAAGAAAATCAGATTAGCTGAAATGAAATCACGTTCCTGCGGTCACTCTGAAAATGCCAAAACCTAAAACGGCGCAATTTTCTTAAAAGTCCTTAGGAGAAATGTGCGTTTTATGTGCCTTAGATAACGCAATATAAAATTATTTAAGGACAATAGAACCGCAAGAGGTTTTTCGGTCTCAAGATACATACAGCAGAAAGACCAGAGAGTTTCATTGCATTTATGCTTGAAGGAATTTACATAAACCTTTCAGGAAGCAGCTCCTTACATACCTTAACTTGAACCTGGATGGCCTGGATTCAGCATCCACTGAATTTAGGAACTAGTGTGTCTGGAAAAAAAAAAAAAAAAAAAAAAAAAAAAAAAAGATAAAACACCACAATAAGCTTATGAAAGTAATCAACTGAAATGCTCTAAAATATAGTCTCAAACTGCCTTTCAGAAAATTATTGAATAAATTGATTCACAATAATAACTCTCCACACCAGCCTCAATTTCCCATGGCAGAAATTCAAGTTGCTGGAAACATTCCTCCTAGATTTTGGTTCACATTGACATGATAACATCACTGCGTTGCTGTAGATTTGTCAGCTGCAGATCCTCAATGCAAACCTCATCATTCACCACATTCCAAAGGTGCACTATTGGACTGAGATCTGGTAATTGTGGAGGCCAAGAGCACAGTGTCAACAACAACATTGTCATGTTCAAGAAACTAGTTTTGAGATGTTCTCAGGTAGGTCTGGGTGGCTAAACAATGTTCAGATGATATCAAAGAACGTGCCAAGAAAATATCCTGCCAAAAATGTCACACCAGCCTGAACCACTGATACATGTCAGGCCATTTTCATACTTTTATATGTTAGTTACAGCAAATTCAGAACACCAGACTAATCAAACCAGGCAATGTTTTACTAATCTATTTCTTGACCAATATTAGTGACCCTGTGTAAACTGTAGTCTCAGTTTCCCATTCTTAGCTGACGGGCATGGCACTTGGTGTGGTCTTCTGTTGCTGTAGCCCATCTGCACCAAGGTTTGAGATTTTATGTAGAGCAGGGCGATATGACCAAAAATATCTATCACGATATAAATTTAAAAATTTGCGATAATTGACACTAGACAAAATACTTTACAACTCCACAACTTTAGTGCAAAAAAACCCATTAATGTATTTTCACTTAAACAAGCAGCTGTTTTTTTATGTGCATTGAAGTTATATAAAAAACTTTACAGTGCAAATTCCTTGCTGACATTTTAACCAAAAGGTATTTCCAGTGGAAATTGGCCGACATATCCACAACTTAAAAAGAGGTTACACACACACACACACACACACACACACACACACACACACACACACACACACACACACACACTATGGTAATATTATGTTGAAGCACAGTACATATCATACATATCACTCCGCGAGGCTCCTGCCTAATATAGCCGTAATGCTCCGGCAATCCATCAAGCAGTCCGGGTTCGTAGCTTAGCAAAGTCGTACTAAAACATTTGACAGATTTTCGAGCGCCGTGTACATAAAATCGTTTCGAGGTCAATAAACACAACCAGAATTCATGCATAAGGCACACGGGATTATAAGGGGCACTGTCGATTTTCAGGAAAAAAAAATATCAAAGGATTGATTTTAAGTGTGCCGTATTTTCCAAACAACACGGTAATAACGACGGCCCGCTAGCATGCTCTACCAAAAATAGTGCTTTGTTGTGTATCTGACGGACGAAAGCCAAACCAGTTCCACACCACTGAAGTTGCAGCATTTTTACAAACCAATTCTGGTTCATCCGTTTCATTTAACGATCCGTGTTCGCTCTTCTCATTCTGTGTCGCCGCCATGTGCGTATGTAAACCTAGGCACTGCGCATGCGCGTTTTACCCATATTCTATCGCGATATTTCATTTTCCTATCGTTGCCCAAAATTACACCGGTATTACCGTGAACGGTATGATATAGCCCAGCCGTAATAAGATGCGCTTTTGCTTACGTTGGTTGTAAAAAATAGTTACTTCACTTAATATTGCCTTCAATTCAAACCGGTTTGGCCACTGTCCTATGATTACCAACAAGTCATTGTAAGTATTAAAAATAAGCTGCTTCTAGGAACAAACACATAATTTTTAAGAAACCTCAAAAAAGTCAATTAGCTGTAAGTACTTCACGTGCCTTGATTTAACGGGAAAAAATAAGTAAACAAAATTTGAAGCATGTTTGTAAATGAGACATTATAATCTCAATTGGATCATCTGTATAAATGAAGGTTAAACAAAATAACTGAATGACCAGCAAAGCAAAGTAGCACATTCAAATGCCAGTCAAGTGTATCACCTCTCACCAAACGCCTTTTTAGCAATACAAATTCGACCGCGGCTCGTAATGTTACTTTCGATTGGGACTCTTCGCCAAAGCTTTCCGGTATCCGATTTACACGATACAACACTAGCTATGTAATCCAAAAATAGACTCGTTACACTGCTCATAAAACTAAGTCGGTTAACATTAAAAGCAATGCTCTCATACACCGCCATTCCGAGAGACGTTATTGGTTACGGAGTAGCTACATGGAGCTAGGTTAATGTCGGCGGCTAGCTTCTTAACGCTACCTTAACCAGGGACGTTGAAACCAAACAGATAGGTTCACAGTTACGCCTGCAAATGCTTTACGATCCACGGTTCGCTGCAAGCAATGCTATAGCAAGAACGACAGGGCGACAATGTACTTACCTTCAAAGTCTATTTCGTGTCAATTTTCAGCCACCCAGCGTCACGATCAACCACTATCCGCTCACAATGCTGCCCTTCTTCTTCACTTAATTTACGGCAACTGGCCCCTGATATCTTCTTCTACCCCTTGTGTGGATGTAACTACCATTTCATTAAGCCTATATATCGCCACCTATTGACTAAAAATAAAATACGTGCAGTATGCCCTTCGAATCAATAAAACGAATCAGACCTTTAGAGCCATTAAAAACAATTACCAGAAAAATATACGTTTTTTTAAACGGAGTATTTTTTTAACCCTCTAACAAATGATATAAAGGGAATTAAATAATAATTTGCATATATGCGTTGTAATTTGTATTGTATTGTATTTTCTAAACCGGTCTCTCTTTTTTTGCAATGTTTTGCTTAATTAATAAAAATAATTAGTTCACGCTATTTTGACTCAGTATAGCTTAGCGGCTTCAGATGACTGGAAGGTAGCAAGGTTGCCAGGTTGAGATGTTGTCCTCTCGGTTTGTACGTAAAAATAACGAAAGCATTATAATCCCTGAATTTCGGCATTTTATAATATGTAATGTACTTCATGTTAATTTCCAAAATGTATGAGGATATGCTAAGATTATAATTATCGTCTAAATCTACACATTCGTGCTCACGGCAGCGTGAACGTTGTTGTTTTACCGGCTTGCGCAGACGGTTTCCTGGACTGGGCGGTCGTTGTGTTGGGAGGAGTCAGTCCCACATACCTGGCAACATCCACCGTCGCTTTGTTAACGCTTCATTGAGCCAAGATGGCAGATTTCGAAGAGCTCAGCGATGAAGAGAAGGTATTGCTATATTAATAATCCTCACAATAACAACGGTTTAGCTCTAACCTTTGTCGTGAACAATTGCAGACCTCGGAGGGATCTTTAAAGTCGTGTATGAATTTACCAATAGGGCTATGGTAGGTGTTTGTTGGGTACTAGCTAAACCTAGGCAGGGCTGTATTTGACAGCTCGGAGCTGAAGCTGTTACGTTCTTATACATAGAGTAACTTAACTAAATTACTCGTTTTAAATAGAAGCCATATTCAGCGTACGACTAACGTCGATTGCTGATTTTGCTCTTAACTTTGCAGTGGTTGACAACTGTTAAATCGAAGGAAGTCCAGCTACTTCCTGCATTTACACCAAGGATCATGACAGAGCATCGATAGCAAAACACCACCCACACCCTATTCACTTTCACGTTTAGCTTCCTCAACCGGTTTTGATATCGTAGGACGTTAAAGTTTGTGGGTATTTTATGCACTAAAGACCTGGTTTAGAAACGCATAAGGAGGGTAGGTCTTCTGCCTCCCTGCAGTGTTACTGAGCCTTGCAGTGACTGGTGTTGCTGTCTGTATCATGCTGCAACATGTTGTAAAATAGCGCATTGCATTCCTGAAGCTGGTATCTGGCCAGGAACTTAACTATTTAAGTATTGTTTCAGTGAATCTTTCAAAATAAGATTAATAGGTTGGTGTGATATCTACACTAAAATAATACATTTGAACTTGTCTGAAGAGTCTGCGTAAATAGTGTGTTCATTTGCGTTTGAATTACACGATGGAGAAGCTGAGTCTGAGCCTGAGAGTGTGCTGTATGCTCTGAATGCCACAATGCCTGCACCACTCTTAAACTGGGTTATTCATTGTAATGTCCCTCTGCCCTTTCAGCAGGACAGCCCAATTGTAGGTCAGTGCCAGCTGCAGCCTGAAGGCTTTAATAATCCTGTCTGCCTGACAGATAGCATCACTGGCAAAATCATACTACAATGTGATAGTGACGTCATAGGTTTAGTAAAGGGATACAGTGAAGGTGGCAAATTTGTGATTTTAAAAAAGGGAACTTGTAACCTCTATAGAGAACAACTTAACTTCAGATTTTACAATGAGCTGCCTGGTATAAATGTACAACTTGTGGTCCTCATTGAGTATTACTTTATGAGAGCATAGTATCTGCCTCAGTCACTTCGTTCTAGGGCTTTGACACCACATGCTTGCACATACATACTGGGTGACTGCTAAGAAAAGCCCTTGGGTGACATGTACTGCCATCTAAGGAGTGGCAGAAATAGAGCTAACCAGCCTCTGGCCAAGAAAGTTTGCCCAGTACTCTCTGCTTCACTCTAGTGGTTATTTTGCAGGTTTTAATCTGTTCATATAAATCACCTACTATATCTGTATCTTTATAAAAATGGATACTGTAGCAAGACTAAATAACACCAAAGTTTCTTAGAGATCAAGTGCAGATTCCCATTGATGATGTGGTACTCATCAACACATCTTATTTATTTCCAGGTCCGTATCGCAGCTAATTTTGTGATGCATGCTCCTCCAGGAGAGTTCAATGAAGTTTTCAACGGTAAACCCCGGTTACACCTTGTGTACTAACTGCAATCCATGTGCAAAGAAAAATGTGTTTATGGTTATCTTCCACTACTTGTTGTTCTCAGATGTGCGACTCCTGCTCAACAATGATAATCTCCTCAGAGAGGGTGCAGCTCAGTAAGTTTCCTTCTTTAGCTTCTTTCTTTTCTTTTCTTTTCCTTTTCTTTTTTCTTTTTTTAAAGGGAACCAATTATTACTCTACTCTCCTCCATTATTTGGAACATGGTCAATGTTCCAAATAATGAGATGACATGCTTATGCAGTCCAAAGCTTAATCAGGCTTCGGACTGTAGTAACTGCTGCATTTCAGACGTTGTTTGCTACACGTGGTTCTCCATGATGTCATTAAGATCTGCTATTCTTTACATTGTCAAAAAGGGCCAAGTATCAGATCACGTAGCACTACTCTAGAGTCTAAGAATAACAACAATGTTATAGATATGGATGCAGCTTATGGTTATATTGTCTTTTGTTATAGTGCCTTTGCCCAGTACAACATGGATCAGTTCACCCGTGCCAAAATTGATGGATATGAAGATCCGGCAAGTTTTGGCCTTTTCTTCTTTCTTTTTTTTTCTTTTCTTTTTTTTCTAAGCATTCAAATAAGTTACTATTATTATTGAATCTACAATTTAATTTATCGTAGGATGCTTGAATGAATTCCCATGGTAACAGGTTTCTCTGTCTGGTCCCCTGCAGGTTCTGATAACAGAGCATGGAGACCTGGGTAATGGCCGTTTCTTTGACCCCCACAACAAGATCTCCTTCAAGTTTGACCACCTGAGGAAGGAGGCCAGTGATCCTCAGCCCCATCAGGGCGAGGCAGCCCTCAGCTCATGGAGAGATGCTTGTGACTCTGCTATTAGAGCATATGTCAAGGAGCACTACCCCAGTGGAGTCTCCACCGTAAGATCGCTCCCTCTCTCATTGCACTATGGCTGTCATGTTGAGTTTAAGCATAATAAGTCACCCACTCCTGGTTATTTGTTTCAGGTTTATGGGAAAACAATTGATGGCCAGAAGACCATTATCGCTTGTATCGAGGGCCATCAATATGAGCCTAAAAACTTCTGGTAAGTTGAGAAAGGATAATGATCTCTTTCTAAATGTCCTTATCAGATTTTCCCAAAGAATTATGTTGATGTAGTGTATTCGTAATGATGCATTTAGGATCGTCTTTCAAGCATAGCCTTCTGCGTTTTCCTTGCCCAGGAACGGTCGCTGCCGATCTGAGTGGAAGTTCAGTGTCTCACAGCCTACAGCACAGGTTGCCGGAGTCTTGAAAATACAGGTATGTTAAGTTTTTATTTGCCGGAATTTAAGAATATTCTTGATATTAGTTTTGTCTCAATGTTGTATTTCCTCTCCTTACCACAGGTACATTATTATGAGGATGGAAATGTACAGCTGGTCAGCCATAAAGATGTACAGAAATCACTGACTGTGTCTGTAAGTGTTGCTCTATGTCTGTGGGCTAAAGTTTAAGAACATGTTGATTTTATTTGGATCTGTTTAACTCATGTACGTTTATTTTTGGCAGAACGAGAGCCAGACTGCAAAGGAGTTAGTAAAAATTATTGAAGATGCAGAAAATGAGTACCAGGTATGTGGGAATTGCCTAAATTTGAGAGAAAAATAATAATAAAGCCACAGAAGAGCTGTGGCAAGTTGTATAAAATGTACTTCCTACTGGCTAAGATCCTCAACAAGCTGTGCACATATGTACAAAGAACAATAGGTGATCTTTAAAAGGGGAAGACTGATTGCAACACACTTTTTTTTATTTTTTTATTTCCTAGTTGGTAAGTGAAGCTACTAATGGCATTATTTTTGTAAGCACTCTTGGCTGACAAATGACCATTGCAAGATTTTTATATATTTACACCATAGTGTTATAAAATAAGTGACAAAAGGTGTCCCGTTAAATAGTTGGAAATCAGAATCATTAATTAAATAATTACAGCTATTTTCAGGTGTTGAGTGAACATTGTAAAATAAAATAAAATAAAACGCATGTTTATTATTAACTGGAACTGACAGCTATTTCCAAGGACTGTATCAGGATATATACATAACGTCACTGTTTAGGCAACTGTTTCCCATCTTTTAAAAAAAAAAGCTTCAAAGGGCACCAGCAGCGCAAACAAACTGTAATTAGTGGAGGTGACGTCTAGCAGACAGCAACGGGCTGTAGCTGTCTCTGTCAGCACGCCTGTTAGCCAAAACATTCAAGCTCTGTAACTTTAAACGTTAACTGTGTTTAATTTATTGACTGAGATATAGAAAGAAGTTCACTTTTCTAACTATAAACATGCTTTTCAATTCAGGTTTATACATATGTATATCACAACAACAGTCACCTCAAGGTGATTTATACTGCAAGGCAAAACTCACCATCGGGTAATCCCCTAGGAGCAAAGCGCTTTGCAACAGTGGCAAGGAAAAACTCCTTTTTCACAGGAGGATACCTCTGGCAGAGCCAGGCAGGCAGCCATCTGCCGTGATTATAGGGAGACAGGGCAGAACACACATGCACACTTTTTAATGCTGCTAATTTTAACATTTCAGGTGGCCATCAGTGAGAACTATCAGACCATGTCAGACACCACATTCAAAGCCTTACGTCGCCAACTCCCAGTCACCCGGACCAAGATTGACTGGAACAAGATCCTGAGCTACAAGATTGGCAAGGAGATGCAGAATGCTTAGAGGAGAGGGTCTGCTG